TGTTTTCTGGGGCAGAATTGAATGTTCTTAAATGATAGGGTGAATACACATAATTCACATATCAAAAAGGTCATATATGTATTAATTAGGAATTTGGGTCCTATCCTAGGTTCAGTAGGCTAAAACCATTTTTTAAAAAGCATAATGATCATATTTGTATTTTAGAAGGATCACAATTCAGGCAGGTTAGAGAATGGAGCAAACCTACAACAGTTGTCCCCATGGGAAACATAATGGCCTAGAAGAGGGACTGGTGAGATGGAGAGAGATGCACCAGCTGTTGAGGACATGATGCTTGTGGGTGGATGGTGGGTCGTTTGTCGAGACTGGAAGTGCAGCAGGAAGGACTGCTAGAGTGGTTGTTGTAGGGAACTCAGTTTGCACATTGTATTGGTCAGCTTTGCTGCAATAACCCATAGCCTTAGGATCCCAGTCTCTCCTGACATAAGCCCTCGTTTCTCAGTCATGTTACACCCAGGCTCGGCAGGTTCACTGCTGGGTGTTTCCAGAGGTGACTTTGCTGTGGGCTCTGCTATGCGTCTTTCTCGTGCAGGGATCCAGGCTGAGGGAGCATGTTGTTTAGGGACATGCCATTCTCACACAGAGGCAAATACTGAGAGCTGAGAGAAACTTGGTGTAGTAGATGGAAGATGGCTGCCAATCCTTTCCTTCCGTATCCCCCTTCCCTGAATCTGGACCGACTTCAGTTTCCTTTGTCCCATGAGATATGGCAGAAGTGATATTCTGGGACTTTCCAGGCTAGATCATTAAGAATCTTCAGCTTCTCCCTGAATTCTTAGAATAGTCTGTCATGGAACCCAGCTCCCATGCCATGAGGAAGCTCAAGCTGCCCTGTGGCTAGACCCATATCCAGAAGAACCGAGGCCCTCAGAGGACAGCACTGGCTGAGCTTCACCTGACAGGAGGCCCCGACTGGCCAGCTCTGCAGGAGCCATCCTGGAGGCGATCATTTGTACCCAGTTGAGCCACCCTATCTGATGCCACGTGGAGCAGGGTTGAGCTGTCCCTGCCTGATCCTGTCCCAGTTGAGACTCATGAGCAATATAAATGACTCATTTTAAGCCACTAAATTCTGGGCTGGTTTGTTACCCAGCAACAGATAACCAGACCACTTGGGATCTCTCTTAAAACTTGGATCTTCCTCAGCTCACGCCAGAGGGATGGGGATGTGAAGGGGGGACAGCTTCACTGAATGCTAACACAGCACACCTGGATGGTGGGCCTCTAGTGCCTGCAGGACCAGAGAACACAATACTGAAAGGTGTGTGACCACAAGGGTATTTCTATAATTTTTGTATTAACTCTCAGTTCTTGAGAAATTCAGAAGAGCCACACCAGCCTTTTCCCTTGAGTGCCTGGTCAGTCCTGGCCTTGCAGTTTCACTTTCACATTCTCCCTGGGTCAGTTCATCGTTTGAGCTCTTGCTTGCTGTGGAGTGTGATAACCCTTTTGCTGGTACTTGATTTTCTAGAACCTTTTTCTTAAAAGCTCCATAGGGTGTATTTTTTTTTTAACTCAATGAAACTGGAAATGAATTTTGGTAGCACTCTTATCCCTTTGCCAAACCTGAGAGCCCGAGACAGCCTCCTCCTTGGCGTCATGACTTCAAGTCCTTCGCCTCCCTCTGTCCTACCCTCCTTTCCTCTAATCAATCACTAGAACTTTCGACCAAATAACATGCATTTAAAATGATTCTTAAGTGGAGAAATAACAGAGAAGTTAGCAGCATCCCTTATCTGGCTCTGAGCAGTGCAATGAATTTTCTGTTCCTGCAGCAGCTGGACTTCAGCTGGCCAACTGCAGCTGGGAAGGGCCACACCTGCTGATTTAACCTCTGTCTTCCTGGGCATCTTGGACAGGAGTTTTGAGTTGAGTGGAGCAGGTGCTCACGTGTGCAGTCATATGTTGTAACGTCAAGTCCAGAGCTCTGGTCATGGAACAGATTTCTGCATGCTCCTTGTAAGAGGAGACCCCGTGATTTAGGGGCAGCCAGGGCTTCCTTAGCTTTGATCTTTGGGAGTAAGCTTCTGCTTGACGACTTCTTTTTTTCTCTACCCCTTTGTCTCTGTCTCATAGAGCAAATTTGAAGTGTCCTGTTTGCTTTTAACCGCTGGAAAGCAGACCCCCCCCACCCCCGGACGAAGTATCAGTGACAGTGCGGCTTCACTTTGATCAGAGCACCCAGCGCTACCTGAAGGAGTTCGCATGGTCTGTGGCTCAGGGACTGCGTTCCTAGAGACAGGAAGCGCACTTAGGTGAGGTCACAGTTGCAGGCTGAGAAACTTGATCAGGGATGTGTGTGTGGATGTTGCTCTTTGGCCTCTTTCTGCCCTTCCTTCCTTTGTTTGTCTCCAGCATCTCTCCTCCTTCTGAGGTGTGTGAGAATTTAATCCTTGGCTCCTGCCGCAGCAGGGTGCTGACTCAGTGTTTGAATCACCGAATCTGGCTGGCTTCCTGTTGGCTCACGCTCCCGTGCTCCCTCTCCATAGCTGTGGCCTCCAGAGCTCCCCCCTCACATATTCCCCATTCAGCCTCTTCTGAAAAGCCTGCCCTGGCCAGGCGACAGCTTGTCTTCCCTTCCTCCTCAACCCAAGTCCTTTCCCTACCCCACAGCTGGAGATCAATGCAGACTTTTTTCCAAGTAGCAAACTCCAACTCTCACCCTGCATCTAGGATGTCAGTTTTGTTAAAACGTAGATTCTGCCCCAAAGGCTGGTGGCCAGCCTGGCCCCGCTCCCCAGTCCTACCAGCTGCACTGGCTCTGGGTCAGGAGGTGGCAGGAGAGGGGATAAGGTGCAGGGGAGATATGAATACAGCTGAAAAAAAATCCTGGGTTTCTTTCTCCAAGTAATTTAGACCATTATTAGGTTGCGCATAAGGGCCTACATTTATTATTTCTTATCTTAAGCCAGTGTTTCCCAATCTCCCCGCCCATTATTGTTCCTCTAAGGAGAAAAATTAAATTTCACTTCTAAAGAGAGAGACAAAGGACCAAGGAACAAGATTTTGTGGGGCAGGGTTGAGCTTTGGTAGTGCCCTGAACCACTGCAGTAGCTAAGATTTTTTCCACTCCTTCTCCCAAGAACCAGCTTTTGTCCACTGACAGACTTGCTCTGAGGACTTCATGTTTTGGAATAAGAGAACCTCCTTTTGAACCAGGCATCTCACCGGATGGTTTATTCCATTTGGTTCTCCCAGTAACCTTCCCAGGTCAGTTCTTCTCACCTCCATCACACAGACAGGCAGTCGAAGCTCAGAGAAGTTGAGTGACTTGCTCAGGCCACCTGACTAACATTAACCAGAGGAGCCAGGATTCAAGTCTGGGTGTGGAAACAAGTGCACTGCCTTGACTCTTGTCTTTAGATGTAACTTATACACTGTGAAGTCCTCCCTTCTAAAGGATACATACAGTTCATTTAGTTCAGTAGTTTTGGGTATACTCACAAGGTTGTGCAACCATCACCAATATCTAATTTCAGAACATTTTCATTACCACCCCCCCTCAAAAAAAAAAAAAAATCTTGTGCCCATCAGCAGTCAGTCCCTGCCCCTGCAACCACTCACCTGCTTTCTAACTATAGATTTGCCTGTTTAAATGTTCTGTGTGAGCAGACCCCTATGTGACCTCTAGTTACGGGCTTCTTGGCGTGGTACACTCCAGGTGCCTTCGTGCTGTAGAGGTGTGAGGGCTTCATTCTTTCCATG